ATAAGAGGGCAAGGACGGAACGGGTGGGAACATGGGGGGCGAAGGGCGAGGGGGTGATGGCAAGTTAGGTGTTCTCGCGCCAAATCTGGAACCCCATCTCTCCCTACAATCCCACTGCGCTGACTCGTGCTATATCCGCGGACGCGCGTCATTGCCGAACTGGAGTTTTCCAAAGAAGACCCAATCGTTTTATGCGCAATCGGAAAACTTGAAACTGCATACATCGGAGGAGGAGCAGGAGCAGGAGCAGGAGCAAGAGGAGGTGGCGGGTGAAACGTACAGGATGAGTGGGAGGAAAAGGAAAAGGATGCGGAAGGATAAGGACGAGGACGAACATTAGCAAAAGAATTGGAGCAGGAGGAGCAGGAGGACCAGGGGACGGCGGCGGAGGGGAAATGAAGGGGGGGACACGCATTGTGGCCCGCGTTGGGGCGAGCGCATCATTCTGAACGATTGGAGCAAATCGCCGATCCGAAAAAAAGGCCCGCGCTGCAGCGGGAGCACCATTTTGAAACACCGAAAACAATCGGATCGTCAACACACACACACACACAAGAAGAATAATCATTGTTTGAAATGCAATGTGTCAGAAAGCAGAACGCGGAGAGATAAAGCCATCTTCCCGACGGAATCAGGAGAGAGGGAGAGAGAGTAGGATCGGGAATGTGTAATTGTGCAGGGGCATCGGTATCAGTATGATGTGGCACGTTAGTATTTCGTGAAGCCGGACACGATGAGGAAGGAAGGGAGGGGAGGATCGGACGGGGCTAGGACGAGGATATATCCGTTCCAGAACGTTCCAGGACGCTCTGAGAAAGCCGCGGAGCCCGAGACATCCTCCAGAGCCGCTGGATCTCAGAGATTGCCGATTTTATCTCCACGCGATGTTATCTTCACCTGGCTTCGTCCCAGGGGAAGGACGAGGGGGGACTCGAAGAGGGATGGAGCCATGATGGAGCGTGAGGGCGACCGGGTCGACATCGGCGATCGCAGACGACGCGGGGCGACGGGCGGGGCAAATCCGCGGGCGTGGTGCAACAGGCGTGGTGTGTGCGTGTGCATGTGCGTGCGCGTGCGCATGCGCGTGCGCGTGCGCGTGCGCGTGCGCGTGCGCGTTCGCGTGCGCGTGCGCGTGCGCGTGCGCGTGCGCGTGCGCGTGCGCGTGCGCGTGCGCGTGTGTGTGTGTGTATGTGTGTATGTGTATGTGTGCCCACACCTGAGATCCTGGCTCCGCAATCTTGTTCGAGCCGGACGTCCTCGAGCAGTTTCGGGCCCCAGGACCCTCACAGATCGATCCAGCCCGACATCTGGCGCAGAGAGGTGGGGTCTGGGCTCTGGGCGTGACTTTTCGCGATGTTGTAATTTTCTCGAGGCGTCGGATCTCAGGGAAGTTTCTCGGGGGCGGCCCTGGGGTGCACTTTTGTGTCCTGCGTTCCGCGCTCTGCGTGCCACTGCGCTCCTCGGTCCCCGGCGCGGCAGCCCAGAGTGCAGAGCACGGCGGCTCGCCAGCGCTGCTTTTGGTGTGTATGTGTGGTGTGTCGTGTGTGGTGTGTCGTGTGTGGTGTGTGCGTGTGTGCGTGCGTGTGTGCGTGTATGTGTGTATGTGTGTGTGTGTTTGTGTGTGTCTGTGTGTCTGTGTGTGTGTGTCTGTGTCTGTGCTGTGTGTACTTTGTGTGCTGTGTGTGGTGTGTGTGTGTGGTGTGCGGTGTGTGGTGTGCGGTGTGTGGTGTGTGGTGGGCGTATGTGTGTATGTGTGTATGTGTATGTGCGTTTTAGTGTGTGAGCGTATGAGCGTGTGAGCGTGTGAGCATGTGGGCGTGTTAGCGTGTGCATGTGCGTGTGCGTGCGTGCGTGTGTGTGTGTGTGTGTGCGTGTGTGTTTGTCGCATGGCGCGCCGCGGCGCCAGGTGCCGTAAAAGACAGCGCCTGTGCATGTTGCATGTTCGGGACTCCGCCGGGGTGCCCGCGGATATGCAATTACATGTTCAGCATCGTCTAACTGATTCCATCCCCACTGGACCGTGGTACCTCAACCCCACCAGCTCACCCCCCCCGGTGGGGAGACGTGCCGCGGAACCTGGAGGGAGAAGCATGCATCCCCACCTTGGGGGGCCCGTCGGCCAGTGGGGCCAAGGCCATGCATGCCAGTGGGGCTGGGGATCGGTGGAACGCTGCCCCCACTGTCTTGAATGTTGCTCTGTTCGGCGGTGAACGAGGGGGCGGGCCTTCTCAGAAGGCTCGGAAGTCCCGCGGCTCTCCCCGAAAGCACAGAAAACCCTTGAGAAGGCGCGAGGGTTTCTGAGAAGTCCCGCCGCCTTCTGCGAAGGTCTTCTCCGTCGCCTTCCTCCCCATCGCTCGCCGGCATTTTCTCCCCCCCGCTCGAAGGCGCAGCCGCCGCTGGCCCCCCCGCAGGGGGCCTGCCCGCACGCCGCGCCTGCCCTGCCCTCCGCCGGGCCCACCAGCGAAGGGCCCGGGCACTCGTGTCTCGCATCCGACGGCGGCTCCTCGGCCTGTGGCCCCTCGGGGGCCTCTCCGCCCCCCCCCGCGGCCCCTGCGTGGCCCTTAGGGCCCCCGGGGTCGAGGGCTGCGCACATGTTCACCGCCCGAGGCCGCTTTGCCCAGGCCTCGGGAGGCGGCGGCTTGGGACGTTTAGGGGCCCTCCTCCTCCTCCTCCCTCCTTCCCTCCTTCTCCTCCTCCTCCCTCCTCCTCCTCCTCCTCCTCCTCCTCTCCTCCGCCTCCTCCTCCTCCTCCTCCTCTCTCCTCCTCCTCCTCCTCCTCCTTCCTCCTCCTTCCTCCTCCTCCTCCTCCTCCTCCTCCTCCTCCTCCTCCTCCTCTCCTCCCCCCCTCCGCCTCCTCCTCCTCCTCCTCCTCCTCCTCCTCCTCCCTCCGTCCTCCTCCTCCTCCTCCCCTCCTCCATCCCTCCTCCTCCTCACTCCTCCCCTCCTCCTCTTCCTCCTCCTCCTCCTCCTCCCCGCTCTCCTCCTCCCTCCTCCTCCTCCTCCTCCTCCTCCTCCTCCTCCTCTCCTCCTCCTCATCCTCCCTCCTCCCTCCTCCTCCTTCCTCCTCCTCCTACCCTCCTCCCCCTTTCCCTCCTCCCGCCTCCCTCCTCCCGCCTACCTCCTCCCTCATCCCCCTCCCTCCTCCCTACCTCCCCTCCTCTACCCTCCTCCCTCCTCCCTCCCTCTCCTCTCTCCTCTCTCTCCTCTCTCCTCCTGCCTCCTCCTCCTCCTCCTCCTCCCTCCCTCCTCCTCCTCCTCCTCCTCCCTCCCCTCCTCCTCCTCCTTCCTCCTCCTCCTCCTCCCTCCTCCTCCTCCTCCTCCTCATCCTCCTCCTCCTCCTCTCCTCCTCCCTCCTCCTCCTCCTCCCCTCCTCCCTCCTTCCTCCTCCCACATTCCTCCTTCCTCCTTCCTCCTCCTCCTCCTCCCTCCTCCTCCTCCCCCGCCTCCTCCTCCTCCTCCTCCTCCTCCTCCTCCTCCTCCTCCTCCTCCTCCTCCTCCTCCTCCTCCCTCTCCTCCTCCTCCCCCTCCTTCCTCCTCCTCCTCCTCCCCTCCTCCCCTCTCCTCTCCTCCTCCTCCTCCTCCTTCCTCCCTCCGCCTCCTCCTCCTCCTCCTCCTCCTCCTCCTCCTCCTCCTCCTCCTCCGCCTCCCTCCTCCTCCTCCTCCTCCTCCTCCTCCTCCTCCTCCTCCTCCTCCTCCTCCTCCTCCTCCTCCTCCCTCTCCTCCTCCTATTCACGTGCACTGCCCCTTGGGGTCCTGGGACACCAGGATCCCGGGCGACGCGTCTGTGTGAGTGCCGCCCCCGCACTTCCGACGTCGTGAACGTGTCAACACTTCGGACCCCTGGCTCTCGACCGCGTCCCTCAGACCGGTTTCTCCTCGCGGGGTCGTCCTGCAGTGACCCCCCCCGGTCGGCATCGGGCCGCCTGCCAGGGTGCCAGGGCTCGAGTGTTGCCGCCCACCGCGGAAGGGGCTGGAGGGACGGCGGGAAGCGTTGCCCAGCGATGCAAGCCCGAGGTGCAGCCCCAGCCCTCTGATCACCCGAAGTGTGGTCTTTGGGTGATGCAGTCCTGTGGCTCCGGGCTTCTTTAGCGTACTTGGTTCCAGGCCTCCTAGATGGGGTCGGAGTAGATCGGGTCGGAGGATCGCGCCGCATCGCTGATGTATCGGCGATGCATCGCCGATGCGGCTCGATGCGGAGCCCGATTTTCTTCACGCGGTCGTCGCCGATGCATCGCTGGTGCATCGCTGGTGCATCGCCGATGCATCGCCGATGCATCGCCGATGCATCGCCGATCCATCGCCGATGGTGCGCGATCCTCCGACCCCATCTACTCCAACCCCATCCAGGAGGCCTCCAGCACACTTGGTAACCGTGGCGCTCTTTGGCGCTTTCTGGGCGCATCCTCACCCTGGTCCTCATAATCGAATGTTTGACTCAAGCTCTGGGCGGGAGCAGGCGGCGGAGGAGTGGGAGAGGGGAAGGATCACGGAGCAGGCACATCGCCTCGCCTCGCTGCCCAGCACCCGGACACCCCTACCCTTGGAAGGGGAAGCACCAGTGCAGATCCAAGAAGTCCGCGCGGACCGTCGAAAGTTGATGTTTATGCTGCTTGTTGCTATTACACTCTGTAAGCGTGCCGTGGTCCTGGCGCGTCGCCTGTGTGGGCACCCTTTTTAGTGTGTCGATGGCGCGCGACCTGGCGCGCCCCCCCCTGCCAGGGGCCATTTCGATCCGATCGATCGGACTCGAGGTCGATTCTGGCCGGCCTGATCCGATCCCTTCTGGATTTCCCGACGATTTACAATGCGGCCCGACGCGTACTCGGCGTTGCTGTGCATCCTGGTGCAGGCGACCCGATGCGATCCGATTCGATGCACGCTCCGATTCGAGCCGATTTGCCGACAAGACGCTGACTGGTCCTGCCCTGTGGGTTCCGCCGCGGGCCCGCCCCCCCCCCCCCCCGCACACGGCACGCCGACGGCGCCCGCTGGGAGCCCCAGGTAGTAAAGGAGCGGCTGGAGCGCGAGTGCCCCGCCCCCGCCCCCCGGCGCTGGCGTGGCGAGTCGTCGCCGTCGTTGTCGCTGCCGCCGCCGCCGTCGCCGCAGCCGCCGTCGAGTGTGCTGTCGTGGTGTCCGTCATTGTCGTCGACGACGGCGCCGACGTCAACATCGACGTCGTCTGCGTTGTTCTGGTCGTTGCCGTCGTCGTCGCTGTTTCCATCGACGCCGTCGTCGTCGTCGTCGTCGTCGTCAACGTCATCATCATCGTTTCCATCGTCGTCGCTCTACACCTTCGGGGCCAGTTCGGCTCGGGCATGTCTGGCCCCCGAGTAGCGAACGAAAAGGGTACAGAAAACCGTTCTGCCACCGGGGACGCTTGTCCCAGGCTGGCTGGACTGCTCACACCAACCCGCCACCCTGGTGGGAGGGGGACTCATTTCGAAGCCGCCCAGGGACAGACCTCCCTGGTGTTACAACAGCATACGCCATGCATCTGGGCCTCCCAGATCGGGTCGGAGCAGGTGGGGTCGGAAGAAGATCGCGCCGCGTCGCCGATGCACCAGCGATGCGCCTCGGTGTGGAGCGCGATGTTCTCCACGCCAAGTCACCGATGAATCGATGGCGTCGCCGATGCATCGGCGATGGATCGACGATGCATCGACGATGCGGCGCGAACCTCCGACCTCGTATGGGAGGCCGCTGATACAGCTCTTCGTCCGCCAACCCTCAGGAAGGCAAAGAAACAAACACAGACACAATTCGTCGTCGATGGCCAGGAAGATACGGGGAAGTATTTGGAGGTGGAGGGGAAAACGGAAAGAATTTGGAATCGCGATTTCGTGGACCGTTTTTGCTTTGACCTCATTTCGCAGCAAAAGGGCAGAACAAAGACAGAACGAAGGAAACCACGAAAGGAGCATAAGAGCGAAACAAACTGTTCAGCTCGAGCATTCTGGGATTCATATGTGTCTATTTCGGGGGCGCGCAAACATGGATTAGCGATCCAAGGATTTGGCGCGCGGTCGCCAAATCCATGGATCGGGGGAGGTGCCCTCCCCAAAATGCGGCCAATGCCGCCTCCTTCGGCGGCGGAAATCCGCGATTTCCCATGGAAGCGGGACCCCGTCGCTAATCCACGCCCCCTTCATCCATGTTTGCCCCTAATCCACGATCCCCTGACCATTGACTCGTGTGCCCCATGGGCCCCCTATTTCCATGGGAAATCGCGGATTTCCGCCGCCGAAGGAGGCGGCATTGGCCGCATTTGGGGGAGGGCACCTCCCCCGATCCATGGATTTGGCGACCGCGCGCCAAATCCATGGATCGCTAATCCATGTTTGCGCGCCCCCGACTCGGGGGGGGGGGCGGCTCCGCGCAGGCGGCGGTCGCTGGTGGGCCCTCCCTCGCAGAGCCGGGCTGCTGGCCCACCGGTCTGCGGTCAGCGCGCCTAGGAAGGACGCGCGCCGTCATCCCAGACCTGCTCGAGTGCAGCAAAAGTCGCGACGGGCGGTTCTTCTGAGTTTTGGACCTCTGGGAGCCCTCACCGGCCCTCGGGGCCGTCAGAAAACGGTTCATGGGGCCCAGGGAATGGGTCGAGACCTCTGGGGGTCGACGTCATGGAAAAATCGTGACGTCGGGGGTCTGGGAACTAGGGTACCCTTGTGTCCTTGCCTCTGCGGCCCGTCCTTCGCTTTTTTCACTGCTTGCCCGCCGCCAGAAAAAATCCCAACTTCGGTTTCCAAGGGTCTTGCGTCCTCGCCACCCGTCCTTAATACACCTTTTGATTGTAGGCCTCCGAGGTGTCGGCAGCAAGCGAGGGGAATGTGAGAAAGAGGAGGCCTTCTCAGAACGCAGCGGGGCTTCTCAGAAGGCCTTTGGCCTTCTGAGAGGTTTTCTGTGTCTTCGGGGCTGGGTAGTCGCCAGGGGTGAATCGGTCTTTCTAGGGAAACGGGACCTGAGGCTTGTCGCCGTCTTCGCTCTCGGGGCCCTCCACGGGCCACGGGACTGTCAGAGAACGACTCAGGATGCAGAAGTCGTCCTGGGGTCGGCGACTACAAAGGGTGTGGTTACGCCGGGGTGTGGCATGCGATCGGCACCGCTGGGGCCCTGGGGGGCACGACGCTGTCCTTGTCGGGCTTCCTCGGGGCGCGGGAGAGCTCTATCGAGGTCCCCGCGCGCCCCTCAGGGTGCCCCCCCAGGGATGTTCCCCAGGGTGCCCGTTGCAGTCCACACCCTTTGCAAATCACACCCTTTGGAGTCGCCGATGGGGGAAGGCCCCGGGGGTCCAGGACTTCGGGTGCAACTCCTGCGAGGTCAAGTTCTGGCTTTGCCCCGGTCCGAAATCCGGCTCAATCCCGCTCAATCCGGCTTGATCCCACCTTATCCCACCGAATCCGAGGCCCACTCCGGCGTAAGAGCCCCCCAATGGAGCTTGATCCTCCTCAATCTTCCCGACGAAGACCTCCCAGCAGTTGCCTCCTGACAGGACCCGTGTCTCTCACGACCCGCTCCCTGCATGCCGGCAGCGGAGAGGCTCGTTGCTTTTTCTTCCGGTCTGGCTCGGGGGCCCGCGGGCCGGAGAGGTGGGGAGGTGCAGGGCACGCACCTGTCGGGAGGAGGAAGAATTGGCTTGGCGAAGGACCCAACCATGTGCAGTTGCGAGCGCCGCATCTGTGAGTACCGTCTTCGGTGGAACTCCCTGTGGGGCCACGAATCCTGTGAGGGGTGCGCCGAAATGAGAGCGCGGAACTGCATGCGGACGCTGCCACTGGGGCCTTCGGTGGAGCTCCCTCTTGGGCCACGAACCCTGCGAGGGGATTGCGCCGAAATTGGGTGGGCATGCGGAGAGCAGAGGCAAGGATGGGAAGCAGGAAGGAGGAGGAGGAGGAGGACGAGGAGGAGGAGGGTAAGGGTAAGGGTGCATGCGCCGAAGCGCGGCCGACAGGCCGACGGACGACCCGAAAGGAGGAGGAGGAGGAGGAGGAGGAAGCCGGTCCCCCGCATGGGGCCGCCGGGCGCCGGGCGCCGGTCGCTGGTCGCCGGCCAGCCGGTCGCCGGTCGCCGGTCGCCGGCAGCCGGACAACAATTGGGCATCTCGGGTACCTCCCTGGGTACCTCGGGTGCCTCCTTGGGTACCTCGGGTACCACTCCTAACAAGCATGTGCATGACAACTATTGAGCACCTTGGGTATTGGGTCCCTGGGGTACCCCTCCCAATAAGCATGTGCATGACAACACTTGGGCACCTCGGGTACCTCCCTGGGTACCTCGGGTGCCTCCTTGGGTACCTCGGGTACCACTCCCAATAAGCATGTGCATGACAACTAAGCATGTGCATGACAGCCATTGGGCACCTCGGGTACCTCCCTGGGTACCTCGGGTGCCTCCTTGGGTCCCTCGGGTACCCCTCCCAATAAGCATGTGCATGACAACAATTGGGCACCTCGGGTACCTCCCTGGGTACCTCGGGTGCCTCCTTGGGTACCTCGGGTACCACTCCCAATAAGCATGTGCATGACAACTATTGAGCACCTTGGGTATTGGGTCCCTCGGGTACCCCTCCCAATAAGCATGTGCATGACAACACTTGGGCACCTCGGGTACCTCCCTGGGTACCTCGGGTGCCTCCTTGGGTACCTCGGGTACCACTCCCAATAAGCATGTGCATGACAACTATTGAGCACCTTGGGTATTGGGTCCCTCGGGTACCCCTCCCAATAAGCATGTGCATGACAACACTTGGGCACCTCGGGTACCTCCCTGGGTACCTCGGGTGCCTCCTTGGGTACCTCGGGTACCACTCCCAATAAGCATGTGCATGACAACTAAGCATGTGCATGACAGCCATTGGGCACCTCGGGTACCTCCCTGGGTACCTCGGGTGCCTCCTTGGGTCCCTCGGGTACCCCTCCCAATAAGCATGTGCATGACAACAATTGGGCACCTCGGGTACCTCCCTGGGTACCTCGGGTGCCTCTTTGGGTACCTCGGGTACCACTCCCAATAAGCATGTGCATGACAACTATTGAGCACCTTGGGTATTGGGTCCCTCGGGTACCCCTCCCAATAAGCATGTGCATGACAACACTTGGGCACCTCGGGTACCTCCCTGGGTACCTCGGGTGCCTCCTTGGGTACCTCGGGTACCACTCCCAATAAGCATGTGCATGACAACTATTGAGCACCTTGGGTATTGGGTCCCTCGGGTACCCCTCCCAATAAGCATGTGCATGACAACACTTGGGCACCTCGGGTACCTCCCTGGGTACCTCGGGTGCCTCCTTGGGTACCTCGGGTACCACTCCCAATAAGCATGTGCATGACAACTAAGCATGTGCATGACAGCCGTTGGGCACCTCGGGTACCTCCCTGGGTACCTCGGGTGCCTCCTTGGGTCCCTCGGGTACCCCTCCCAATAAGCATGTGCATGACAACAATTGGGCACCTCGGGTACCTCCCTGGGTACCTCGGGTGCCTCCTTGGGTACCTCGGGTACCACTCCCAATAAGCATGTGCATGACAACTATTGAGCACCTTGGGTATTGGGTCCCTCGGGTACCCCTCCCAATAAGCATGTGCATGACAACACTTGGGCACCTCGGGTACCTCCCTGGGTACCTCGGGTGCCTCCTTGGGTACCTCCTTGTGCACCACTCCCAATAAGCATGTGCCTGACAACTATGCACCTTGGGTATTGGGTCCCCTCGGTACCACTCCAATAAGCATGTGCAGAGCCATTGGGCAACCTGGGTACCTCCCTGGGTACCTCGGGTGCCTCCTTGGGTACCTCGGGTACCATTCCCAATAAGCATGCGCATAACAACTAAGCATGTGCATGACAGCCATTGGGCACCTCGGGTACCTCCCTGGGTACCTCGGGTGCCTCTTGGGTCCCTCGGGTACCCCTCCCAATAAGCATGTGCATGACAACAATTGGGCACCTCGGGGTACCTCCCTGGGTACCTCGGGTGCCTCCTTGGGTACCTCGGGTACCACTCCCAATAAGCATGTGCATGACAACTATTGA